TTCCCTGTGACATCTATAAAAGTGAAAGTTGAACTTCAAGAAGCAGGACAGAAAAAGTATTGATGCTGTTGAACTTTGGCATTCCTGAGAACACCATGGACAGCCAAGAAAATAAACCAATGTATCGTACAGCAAATCAATTTAGAGTTCTCACTTGAGGCTCAGATAACCAAGCTCAAATTATCATATTTTGGACAGGTTATACGAGACCTAGCTGTCCTGAGAAGTGCATAATGCTGGGAAAGGTGGCAGGAAAGAGAAGTTGTCCAGCAGCAAGGTGAATGGAAATTACAGCAGCTTGATTTTGAGAAACCATAGATGAAAAACACCAAAAATGTCAAAAATAGCGCAAGGGTGTATTCTTTAAATTTGGATTATTTAAATGTAAGTGGTCAGTACTTTCTTTGTTTTAAGAGAGATTGCACTGAAATGTGCAGGGAAGATTAAGGAATATAAGATGCAATTTCAGATTTTGCTTCGGGTCCCTTCGTTATACACAGTATCCAAGACACGTGGGGGTGAAAGCAAATGGTTTGCTAAGGGTTCTTCTCCCCGGCTGAACCCAATTCGCTCTTCTCTCCGTTTCCCCGAGACTTGTATGGGGGATGCCCTCCAATTTAGGGGGTCACTGAACAGCCAGGACTTGTTTGGAGACCCCAAGGAAGAAGAGCGGAGATTAACCGGGGGCGTTCAGGGGAGCCCGTCAAGAACACGATTTCTCCGTTTCCCTGTTGCGGAGATGCGCAGGAGAGAACGCGGGACGATGCCTGGCGAAGGAGCCCCTCGGCGGGAAATACTTTGCCCGGGAAATTCTGCCAGCTACACCGGAGGGGAGACGCTGCCGCCTGGGGTGAAAGGAAACGCCTTCCTGTCCTTAAAGGCTCAAACCTCGCCAGTCGCGAAGAACCACCATGAGCCGCGCGTGCCTTGCGTTCCTCGTCCAGAGGCGCCGGCCCGACCCTCGCAAACGCGGCTAGACTCAGGCCGCCGACCGAGGCGGCGAGCGCTGCGCGGGCAGAACTGGATCCAGCGCCGCGGGAGAAGGGCGCTGGCCCGCCCCCGCCGACCTCCTGGCCGGCGGAGCCCCTGGCCCCGTTGGCCGCAGAACCCTGCAGACGGGAAATAGCGGGCGTCGTTTCTGGCGGACCCGAGCCCGGTTTTCTCGCAGCGCCAGCGCTCGGGACAGGTGGGCGCCGCGCCGCGCTTGCCCGTCTCTCCCCGAGCCACAGAGGCCGGCTGGCTTTGGCCGAGGAGCGCCCCCGGGCCGCTGGTTCCTGGGACTTCGCCGGCGCCCCCCCCCCGACCCAGGCGGGGGCCGAAAGCGCCGGCTAAGAGCGCGGAGCCGCGGCCCTGCCCCTTGCCTCGCTGAGGGCGAGCGGCGGCGGGCAGGTCCGG